GCGGGAGAAAGATGAGGCTCTCTGCTTCTGTAAATATTTACAGCCTCGGAAACCCTGTTACAGGGTCACTATGAATCGGAACTGACTCCACGTACGTAACCACCACCACCAATAGGTGAGAATTTAAGAATTGTAATGTACTTGAGGAAATAAAAATAAATTTATTCCATGTTATCTTGTGGTGTAGCTGGTAATATCTTCACCACATTCTTGCTTATCAATATTATGTCTTTGATCTAACTAATGGACCTAAATACCATTTAGAATATGAAATGTTTCTGCAGAACACATTTCATGAGGCTAATCTTGTGAATTGAGAACAACTATTGCTGATAGTACTGTCAGTATTGAGGTCTGGCACACTGTATGGACCCAGTAAATGGTAGCTATTATTACTTACTCCAGTATTCCATTCTGTATGTAATGACATACGGGGTTTCATGAGTCATAATTAACTCACTGACAGCAAGCTTGGTTTTTCATTTTATCCATACCAGTGTTTCTCAGATATTTTTGGTGGCAATCTCAATAAATATATTTGTTGTCCTGACTCCCCCCCCAAAAAAAGATTATAAATTGTTTTTCATCCTTACTAGATATGATTAACTCTAATATATCAGTTGTACTGGACTGCAAGGTCTGTTTGAACCCTAAGTTCTTCAGTTCACACTCACTGATCCTTGGAAACTCCGTATAGGGTCGCTATAAGTTGGAACTAACTCAACGGCACATAACAACAACTTTTAAGAAAATGTCTTACAAGAAACAAAAGGTTAACAACCTAAGAAGTTGATTTTATGAATAAGTTGTACCCCCAAATCTTTAAAATAATACTCTAGTTTATATTTTGAAACACTGAGAATTATGGGTATAATTTTGCTTTTTGTATTTTATGGGACTGTGGCGACACTGTAGGAAAAGCACTGGACTGCCAACTTCCTGGCCAGCAGTCCAAACCAGCAGGCGCTCCAAGAAGGAAAGATGGCGCTGTCTGCTCCTGTAAAGTTCTGTAGCCTCAGAAACCCTGTGTAGGCTTGCTGAGTTGGAATTGGTTTTTCAGTTTATACATTAAGTTTAGGCTTTTACATGTTAATCTTATGTTAACAAGGAAGTTTACTGACTGGAATGCTTCTCAACCAATGTAGATATCTGATCTCTTTTGGTAATTATTGCATACCATATTAGGTTTTCTCCTAGTGATCAGAATGTATCATTTTCTTCCTGATTTGGGAAGGTTTTATATATATCTTTCTCCACTCTGTTCTATAGGGCTTCATATGTCCTCAGTGTATGAAATCTCTTGGATCAGCTGATGAACTTTTCAAGCACTATCAAGCGGTTCATGATGCTGGTAATGATTCAAGTCATGGAGGAGAGACTAATCTTGCTCTGAAGCGGTACAGTATAATGTTTTTGGAATATAATATTATGGAAGCATGTGTGTGAGTGATATCACTGTTTAATCTTGAATGATCGGTTTGTGAAAATGTAGTTTTTAAAATAATTTAATTTAAAATTACCCTTATTTGGTTTGGCCTTTCTCTGTTATCATTATAACCTATTCAGTCCTTGATCAGTAATTATCTACGCTAGTATCTACAGTGTGGTAAGGAAGATAGAGTTTTAATGAAGGTTGTGAGCTATCAGTCTGAAGAAGGCTAAATTAAATGTTCTGAATCAGAGAATGATATGTTTTGTTTAGGAGGTTTTGTAACAATTTGCTAAAACATTTACCTAATAATGAAAATTTAATTATTTATTTTTAAATTTTCATTTATCAATACCAGTAAAATAAGTTCATACACATGGTTTTTGCTAATTTTGCCTGACCGTTTGAGAATTTAAACTAAAACATAATCACCTAGAACAGCATTCAGTAATATAACTCTGTTTTTCTCCTTCTGTTTGTGAGAACTTTTTTCATTGATTCCTTGCTAAGGGATAATTTTTGGTTTCATTCTGCTTAGAAAAAAAAACTACTTCACTTAAAAAAAAAAAATCCACAAATTTTTATTGTGAATTGAGTAAAGGTTTACAGAGCAGATCATCAGTTTGACATTCAACAAACCAGACACTATGCTTCACTGCATGGTTGCAATCCCCTCCCAGTACCAACAGTTAACAGCATTTACAGCTATTCAGTATTGTATTGCTCCCTGTGTCTCCTGCTAAGGACCTTCATCTTTCATCTGCTAACCTCTCTTTTGTTCTATATTGCCTGCTCTATCACCCATGTTAACATGTGTCTACCCTTTACCCCTGAATAATTTTCCCTCTTTCCCCTGCCCTGTAACCATCATAGATTGTTTCTTTTATGAAGGAAACCTCTTTCTTTTTATACTACTTTATACAACATTGGTCTCATACAATGTTTGTACTTTTGTGATTAACTAATTCCACTCAGCATAATGTCCTCCAGGTTCAGCCATGTTGTAAGGTGTTGCACAGATTCATGATTATTTTAAAACATTTTGTAGTATTCCATTGTGTGTTTGTACTAAAGTTGCTTAAACCATTCTCCTGTTGAGTTGATGGGCATTTAGGATGTTTCCATCTTTTTGATGTCTATTGGTGACAGCACATTGAAAATTCCTGTTTTCTTATCCATTCTGCTATTTATGTCTCTGACTGGTACACTTAATCCATTTATATCCAGTGTAATTATCAATAGGTATGAATTGATTGTTGTCATATTTTTTCTGTGTGGTTTTTCATGGTGCTGCTAGAGTCTTTGTTCCACATAATTTTCTATGCTGAGTTCATTTTATTTTTGGGTTTTCTTATCCATTTAATTTCTGTTGTGTTAATGTTTACTGAGTCTTTCTGGATTTCCTCTTTTTAAAAATTTTGATATACAGGTGCTATTTTTCCTTGAGATTGCCCTGTAATTTGTTAATTTTTCCCCCTGCTTACAACAGTCTGATCTGTCTTGAAATCTACCTGCTTTCTGTGCCATTTGGAAGTTCTTTATCTGTACCATTCCCTCTTTTTACTTTGTAGTTGATTTCATTCTACATTGGTATTTCTGCTTCCCTATTTTCAGTCTTGTGGGTCTGTTGCTTTAAATACTTCTATATCTGGATTGCGTTTTGGGTGGTGTTCTCATGAATGTTAATTTCAGGTTGTTGTTTGCTTGTTGGTTCTCAGTCCAAAGAGCACCTTTTAGCATTTTTTGCAAAGTTGGTCTCGCCATTACAAATTCCTTTAATTTCTGTTTATCAGGGAATGTCCTAATTTTGCCACTGTATTTGAGGGATAGCTTTGCTGAGTATATGATTCTTGGTTGGTAATCTTTTTCTTTCAGAGTTTTTTATATGGACTTCCATTACCTTCTTGTCTGCATGGTTTTGATTGAGAAATCAGAGCTTAGTTTTATCGGTACTCCTTTGTAGGTAACTTTTCATTTTCCCTGAGCTGCTAAGATTCTTTACTTCTCTTTCATTTGGAAAATTTGACTATGATGTATCCTGGTGATTTTCTTTTGGACTCTGTCCTTGGAGTTTGTTCAGCTTCTTGAATGCTTATCTTTTTGTCTTTCATGTTAGGAATGTTTTCTTCCAACAACTCCTCAACAATTGTCTTTGCACATGTCTCTTCCTGTTCTGGAATTCTGATTGCCCATAAGTTATTCCTCTTCGTGGTATTCCACATACCTCTTTAGGCTTTCTTTGGAATTTTTCATGTTTTTTTTTTTACTGATTGTTCTCCTAGCAAGCTAGTATTGAGAGGTTTCTCTTCAAGCTCACTAATTCAGGCTTCCATTGCTTCGCATCTACTCCTTTGCCCTTTCAATATATTGTCCATTTCTGAGATAATAGTATTAATCTTGTGGATTTCTAATGGCAGGTTTTGTATTGTTTAAAAATTTGCATTTATTTTGTCTATTTGTTCTTGCAGTGTTTTCCTGAATTTATTAAAGTTTTTATTGTGTTCTCTTTCCTTTCTTCCATCTTTCTATCAATCCTTTGAAGGTATCTAATTATCATTCTTTTTCAGTTAGTTATATTGCCTTTTCTTCCGCAGAAACATTTCATGTCTCTGCATCTTGGTCATTTGTTGGAGTCATTCTATATTGTTTCTTCATTGGAACTAAAATTGTCTACTGTCTCTGGGACATTGTGAAGTTGTTGTATTTATAAAAATAGTGCAGTTGTTGGACCCCGAGGGGAGAAATATCTCAGGGGCTCCTGCAGTTCAAGGAGCTAACAAGGTGATTGCAGAAGGGTTGTAACAACAGAGTTCATGAATCGAGATGGATTTCCTACTGGCCTCGGTATTGTCTACGTTCAGGGCACTCAATCCAGAAGTAGTTCATGAGGGCCTTGATGGAGCTGGTGTCAGTATCTGTTAGGACCACAGGGAAGCTGGGGGCAGGGAGACTCTTTAAATGCTGGTCTGCTAGCTCTGGGTTTTATGTGTCTGGAGCCGAGCCCACCTAAATCTAGGCACCAATATGGCACACCAAAGCAGCACAGCCGACCCCCACCTCATGCTGGTGTGGCTCCCAACTGTGTGGCTCCAAACTTCCAGAAAGCCAGGTTTGTGCCGAGGGTGGATGACGTTGGGAGCTGGCCACAGCTCTGGTCACCAGGGAAGTGTGGAGTAAAAAGAAGAAATGGCACCTTTCCTGTCATCAGCACGAAGTGCTCTGTCAGGCCTCCCTTTTCTGCCAGAGCTGCACACAGGCTGGTGGAGCAGGATCTGGCCAGCTGTTCACCAGTCAGTTTCCTTTTCTTGCCGCTCTCCCTCAGTCTCCCCTCTTAGCAAGCACTCCACCCACTTTTCTCATCTTTCTTCTGAAGCTCAGGGTACCAGAATTTTCATTTGTGTCTGATAAAACGAATTTTTAACACTTCTGTAATTGCAGGGTATAAAAGTACAAAGAGATGCTAAGGGGTAGGGGTATCCTGTATTCCAGACCTACGCTTCTGTACCTCCACTGTGTAGTAGCTGTCCAGTTTCCCTCTCTCAGCTTCCTTGTATGCTGATTTTTCAGGGATAAGTTGCTCCAAGAGGCCAGGTGGAGGGCCTAACTTCCAGCTCATGAAATAATTTTTAAAATTTGAAACTAAGACTTCTAGACTAGCAGAATGTAAAGTCGCAGTGACATGAAGCAAACATTTACCAGTGTGCTCACTAAGGTTAATAGTGAGCGGGGCCGTTCTCGTTTCTACTTTTCGGTTTCTGGACTCATGGATGTGGCTGTGAGAGAAACAGCACCGTTTACAATTTCCTGAAGAACACTGCCCTATCTCACAAGGTATTGGCCCCCAGGTGGCCCAGTAATTGAGTCTTCAAAATGCTGTTTTAATATTCTATGTGGTCAGTTGTTTCAGGTGGATAAGCAACTTGGTAAGGTCAGTGGAGTCCATGAGCTTGAACCGACCCATTGCTGTTTTCCATTTGTTGTAACATGAGCCCTGACCAGAGGCAATGCTTTGTGGTTTATTGTGACAGGGGATGAGCCTTTCATAAGTCCACAGGTGGCAGAAACAGTGCCTGCAGGGAAGGCACACTAGTTAAGAGTAAAATGCTGCCCCTTGTTTGGTGCAAGCAATCTAATGTAGTCAACCCACCACTGGCTTCCTTATTGACTACCCCAGGAAATCGCGCTCTATCAGGGAGTCTGTTGTTCTCTACTGCAGACAAGTGAGGCATGCAGCTTTCATTGCAGTCGCATCAGCCTCTGTGAGAGGAAGGCTGCGTTGCCTGAGCTCAGGCATCACTTCCATGCCTGCCTTAGACATTGGTAGGGGTGGCTGGGAAAAGCATCTGACTGCTGCTCACAGAATGGGTCAGCCTCTGGTGTAATAAAACCCTCCTCTACTGTTCATTGAAGAACAGAGATGTCAGCTTGAGGACTAAGGTGCGCCTGACCCAGGCCAGGGTGTTTTCAATAGCCTCATATGGATGCGAAAGCTGGACAGTGAATAAGGAAGACCGTAGAAGAATTGATGCCTTTGAGTTGTGGTGTTGGAGGAGAATACTAAAAGTGCCATGGACTGCCAAAGGAACCAATAGATCTGTTTTGGAAGAAGTACAGCCAGAGTGCTCCTTGGAGGCAGGATGGCTAAGCTTCGTCTCTCATACTTTGGACATATTGTCTGGAGAGAACAGTCGCTGGACAAGGATGTCATGCTGGGTAAGGTGGAGGGTCAGAGAAAAAGAGGAAGACCCCCAACGAAATGGATCAGCCAGGTGGCATCATTGATGGACTCAAGTGTGGCGGCGGTGGTGAGGTTGGCCCAGGATTGGACATTGTTTCGTTCTGCTGTGCATGGGGTCGCTATGAGTCAGTTCCGACTCGATGGCACCTGACAACAACAACAACTATGCATACCTTTTGATGACCATTCATGTGGTGGTGGTGTTGTGCCGTGGAGTCATTTCCGACTTACAACCACCCTGCATAGGGTTTTCAAGGATGGAATCTTTATAGGAGCAGAAAGCCTTATCCACAGAATGGCTGGTAGTTTAGAACTGCTGGCCTTCAGGTTAACAGCCCGACTCATAACCAGTCTTCACACTTTTGCCATTTAGAGGAACCTCTCTATATATCGGAGTCCTGGTGTGGTGCTGCAGGATAATCACTGGACTGCTTGAACTTCTGCCAATTTGGAAGAATTTCCCTTCATTACTTGCTTTCAAGGATATCTAGAAAGGGGCTATAGTGATGCAGCCATCTACTGTCTAACGGTGCATGCATATCTCACATCTTGTTGTTGTTGTTATCTGCTATTGAATCAGTTCTGACCCATAACAACCCCGTAGAGGGTTTCTGAGGAGTGGCTGGTGAGCTTGAACCACCAACCTTGCACTTCAATCCAACTTTGCAGTCCAGTGCCTTAACCCACAGTGCCATACCAGGACTACGTAACCATCTATAAATCTGAGTTTTCTCTTACTGAATCAGATGATTGAAGGAAGTCCCAATAAGGCCATATGGGATGGTTGGGAGAGAAGAGGTCCTGTAACAGGAACGGGAGCCAACATATTTGGCGAGCATCCTTCTGTAACGTGTACCTTCAGTACTCGTCTAAGCTTGATTTCATAGATTCCACTTCTGTTTAATGATGGGATGTTGCTATGCACCTAACATGGTGTAGAAGGTTAGACAACCCCACTTTATGATGGGGAGTTCAGAGTGACGTCTCTATTAAGGTCCCAAATAACCCAAAAGCTGTTTCTTAAAAGGTGAATAGCTATCTTCAGAGGATGACACAACTTTGCTCCAAAATTTTAACTGTCTGTGCTGTGGTTTTCCTATGTAGTTGTGTGCCATTGAATTGATTTCCTACTTATAACAACTCTGGATAAAGTAGAACTGCCCCATAGGATTTCTAAGGCTGTCAATATTTATGGAAGCAGACTGCCACATCTTTCACCCATGGAATGGCTGGTGAGCTTGAACCACTGAACTATTGGTTAGCAGTCACATGCTTAACCACTGCATCACCAGGTCTCCTGATGTCCCTATATGGGCCTCCAAATAGCAGCTCTATCTGTGATATGTTGGACTCCTTGTTCCAAGTGGCAGAGCAGCTTGCATGGCAGCCTGGACTTGTTGCAGAGCCTCTCTTATTTTGGGTTTTACTTGTAAGTGAGCAGGTTTTTGGCTCCATCAGTAAATGGGCCAAAATAACCCACTCCAATGAAGAATATGTTGCCTCCAAAATCCTAAGAGACTCTTTAAGTGTTGTACTTATTTTTTGTTGATGTTGCTCACTAGGCCCAATCAGGGTATGTTATCAATATAATGGGCCATTGTGATTCCTTGTGGAAGGGAGAGGTGATCAAGTTCCTTGTGGTCTAAATTATGACATAGAATTGGAGAGTTGATATAATATATACACTTGCGTGGCACAGGAAAGCTGTGTTGATAGCCTTGCCAGCCAAAAGAAGACTACTGTTTGTGGCCTTTACTAATATGTATCAAGAAAAAAGCATTTTTCAGGTCAGTAGCTGAGTACTAGGTAGCAGGAGATATCACAGTTCGCTCAAGCAATGAAATCACATCTGGAACAGCAACTGCAATTGCTGTCACCACCTGGTTGATTTTTTGATAATTGTGATGCAGGTAATTACTTACTATGGCCATTTTAGCCATAGGCTTTGTAACTCCCACTGAGTTACTGGGTGGAACTATGCAAATGAGGTGCTTGTGACTCTCTAAAGGGATTGGATAGCTTACTAATAATGTTAGTAAGGTACATGGCACTCTTCTGGAAGTGGGACCATTTTAAATAAGGTTTACTGACGCTATTGAAGTGACTGGTCAGTTTTCCATCCCACTAGACTTAAAGTGAACCATCCCAGAGGCAGAAAGAGGAACCTCATGACCTCCAAGAAAGAACCAGGAGTAGAGTATGTCATTTGAACCTGGAATCCCTATACTGAGATTATGCTGGATCAAGAAGACACAGAGAGCGAGCTATAATACTGAAGATGGTGAGAGATGGCAAGAAGTTGTTGTTCTTGCTGTGTAGTGCCGTCGAGTTGATTCCGACTCATAGCGACCCTGTATAGGGTTTCCAAGGAGCAGCTGGTGAGCTTGAACCACTGACCTTGCAGTTCAAACGACTTTGCAGTCTGACTCCTTGTTAGCCCACACCAGGGCTCTGACAGGAGATAATGTGGTGGACTACCTGGCTCACAGAGAGAAAAAGCTGAACACTTTTGGGCAGGAGGCTTGCAGGATGAGTGGGATACCTTTGGGCACTTATTGATAGAGTTTAAAGAGCTTTATAACACTAATTGAGAAGGGAAAAGGCTGAAGAGGCATGGGGCCAGGAGACTGAGGGCCAGTGAGAGGCAGGCTCATGCACAGCTGAGAAGATGTCCTGACCGACGAACTATGTCCTAAGTCACTCCTGATACTGTACTATAACCTGCTACTCTCACTGCACCCCATAATTGTGAGTATTGGTCTGTGCACTGTGTGGACATTCCAATTAATTCTCAGACCCACAGAGGACTAGAGAGTGCTGTGGGATGGAAGGCTGCTGTCAAGTTGATGAACAGTTTGGAGGGTAGAGCCATGTCTGAACTCTGCCTCTTAAGAATTGGCTTTGGGCTAATAGTGATGGTGATTATTCCCTCTCTTGAAGTTAGTAGAGGTCAGACACCTCTCCTGCCATGTCATTTTTACAGTAATTCACTGTCATCCTCCACAATACATCTGTTTTCTGCACAGTCCAGATTGTTGTTGGTAAGTGCCGTTGAGTTGGTTCCAGCTCATAGAGATTGTGTATAAGGTTTCCAAGGAGTGGCTGATGAACTTGCATGTGAGGAGTTTCCCAGTTGCTGAGTATGTGTATTCCTGTTATGCGTGTTGGAACTGGAGAAATAACCATGGGATGGGTTTAGCGGCCCTTGGGGCCCACTGTGAGATGGATCTAAGCTAAAACTCCATTGATCACCTGACTTCTTTAATGCTTTACTCTGGTGAACCACAGTGGTGTTTTGGATCTCTTGGTTTAGTTTTAGTTCAGAGTTGGGCCCCAGTGATAATTCCAAACATTTGATTATTCTCTTTTCTCCAGTACACAGTCAACCTGGTTAAAGACCATATACCCCCTTTGGAGAGACTGAAAAAGATTAACAGGATATTTTTGGTAGTGTAGTGGTGCCCTTCCTCATGTAA